CCTACTCCACCGTCAACGTCAACGTCAACGTTAACGCCAACCCCAACCACCAACACCAAAAGAAAAAAAAGGACAACAATATTATTTTTTATCTAAGACGTAGAATTTTATTTTAAAAAGCACGTGCATTGAATGATTCTTAAGTCAGGCTTGTCAGAATGCCCACTTTTGCGGACCCCATCAAATTAATTACTGCTTAAAATAGTGTGCACGCCCAAACTTTTTAAACACATTATCACTAGAGAATTAGTGAAAGTCATATAAGCGTGAAAGTATATCTTCTTTAGTAATGATTCTTGGCCCAAACATTAATATATGTAATTCTTGTAACTCACAAAATCTTTATCCATCAATGAATTAATGTGGCAACTCATCGGTGCTTAGGATAAGATGAGCACCGGTGCTCATTAGATCATTTCTGTATATATATATATGTAACTTATTAGTTGAATCTGAAAAATTACTCAGGACTATGGAAATAGGTTTATCGAATCTCTGTCAAACTCAGAGCCATAGGTCGGATGATATACCTTGGATTGGTGAAATATGGAATCATATGGCAAGCATAAATGGAAGGTGACGGACGTGTACTGAACCTCGCGTTGCAGATGGATGCAAAGTTTGCAGTGTAATCCAGTCTGAGATTTTTTGTATTTTATACAGGCATGGTTAGAAATGGCAATGTGAAGTTGATCTGCCCAAGTTCAGGACATGACGGATTTTATTTGAATTTCAATGCCTATTTTCTTGCAACCTGATCTAACAGCAATCTCTAAAAGGCTTCGTAGGATTTTTATTTTATTTTATTGAAACCCACCAGAATTCTCATTAAGTTCAATCGCCATGAATAGTGGACGATATAAAGACAATAAGCAATCTAACCTACCCTACCCTACCCTACCCAACTCGACCCCTCTAGCACACATGCATGAGACACGAGTTAGTGGAATGTTGAGTCCCGATTGTCGGAGAACAAAGTGACAAGGACCACCACTCAAAGCTGCAAGCAAACAACGCAATGGAGCAAAAGAAAAACAAGATGACAAACTATGAAACAAGGCTTCATATAATTTTAAAGGAGAAAAGGTGAATACAACAATTTCTCTTTCATTATAACAGAGAAAATAACATGTTTAACTCAAATCATCTCTACCCTAGAACATAGCTTTCATACAAAGCATGGATCCACAAATTGCTTGAGAAAAGGGTATTTTACTACGGTTTTCATACAGATTTCATTTCATCAATTTCAATGTATACCATCTAAAGAGAGCTATATCAATAGTACGCTGATTCCCCTCGAGCGATTGGAGAGAGAGAGAGAATTAAAATCAACATTCTCAACACCGTTCCTTTCCTATTGGAGCTTTAATTTGCACCTGATGCTGGCAAAACTCGAATTTGAACATACTGTAAACTCCAAACGAATTTGCTGAAGCATCCCAGTCGATGTCAAACAATAGTTTTTACATATCGTGAAAAAGCCTCCGGATTTGGTCCACTGTTGCAGGCATTAACGTAACCGGGCAACGCTTGTACTGTGGCCATAAAAGAGAGAAGAAAGATACAGGTCAAAGTTCTATAATCAGTAGATAATTACAAAGGACAAGAAATTTACAGAACAATAACAGACAAAACAACCACGACTGAAATAAAAATGCGAAGAAGAAAATCGCGGTTTAACAGAACGTCAAAAGCCTTGAGATTAAAATCACTGGGGTCTATTCTTTCATAGGCATTGAAGTCTCAAGAATCATATATCCTCAAGGATTTGAATCTATAAAATCAAATTTAGAAATGACAACTTAATTTTCTTAAGATTGTTGAATTCATTAACCCAGAGTCTTTTATGTAACATCAACAACTGATTAGATCCAAGAAACAATGAAGTTCAGCAGACGAACATCATTTTTTCTAATTCCTCGAAATTTGTGAATACTTGTCTAATTTCTCGCCTCGAGCGTCACCAAACAACTTTACACTAACGTGTAGGAAAAGCGAATGAGGCAAAATGAATTGCCTTGGGAAAGCGAACAAAACAAAATACAGAACTATATATTGGATTGTAGTAAGAAAACTCTATTTTGTTCTCTGCCCAAAGAAACAACATAAAAAACTTCTATACACAATGCAATTTTACCCTAATTCAAAAAGGAATTTCAATAAGCATCCCTATTCTTTTACAGGGAGCAAGTCATCAAATCCATCCGAAGATAAATATTAGGTAGACAAAAGCAACATAGGTATTCCTTTTCAAGGACTCAAAGCTCTTATTCACGAAATTTATCCGGAAACTGAACAAAGTAATAAACTAATGATCAGAGTTTGAGAATCTCACCTGATTGACGTACTTAAATATACAAGTATAGCAAAAAACAAATCCTGAAACAGCCATTACTGATGGATTTGCACGCTTTTGAGAGCACAAAGGGCATAATGTTCTATCAGGTGGCAGTGGAATTCCTTCCTTTGCAACCTGTTTCATAATGAGCTATGTCATAAATTGGGGGTAGAAATAAATGTGTCACAACAAAAACATGAGAATGAGGAACGCATTCTCCATTCTAAAGAAGTGCCTAATGAATTTCACATAACATTTCCAAAAAATTCCACCAACATCCTTTTCTTCATTCATACGTTAAAAGATTATAGTCACAAACAGGCTAGGTACCTCGTTAATGAAAGACCTAGCAACTCCAGAAAATCACTTTGAGATCTTTGTACTTGGTATTCCAACAAATATTTGAGAGTTCTTATTGACATTCTCCTAAGTTGGTGGAGTAAGGACATGTAACATTATTCCAGTGATATCCCACTATTTACACGCATATAGTGTCAGATGCAACAATAACTAGAACCCCATTTGGACTTAATGGAATATTATCTCGAGCATTCAAACTCTATTCACCATCTGAAACAAATTGTTCTCCTTGCATTGTTTTCTATAAAACATAAATCTCATTGCAAGACTTGGAGTAAATATTGCAGCACGTCAACTGGCAGAATTCTGCCACACACTGAATTGAATTCACGCAAGAATTTCTGATCTATGTGGGTTACAAGTAATCAAACACAAGTGCTGCAATATGCAAAGTTTTCCTTCTCTTTTCAATTTTAGGGTTAAGGGAGGGAAAAAATCCAATATGATATTGAACAGAAGTAGTGACAACTTTCCTCCCTAAACTCCCAAGTTTTAACTCTTCCCATATCATAGCTTCAGAGATTCAAAACCAAAAACTTGGATGCCATACATTTATGCAGAATTATGAACACGTGTAAATCCCAAAAGAAAGTGGGAAAAAAAAACCAAAAACTAGCATCTATACACGCACATATATGGAAAGGACCAGGACAAGAGCATTCATATTCCTATGCATCATTCTCTGGACATGGGTTCAAAAGAACATGAAAATTTTCCAACTATATAGTGCCACTATATCCAATTTTTAGAATGAAATCATGTCATTGAATGCAATAAAGGGGAGGATCTAAATTACTTGGCTAAAGTAAGTGTGATTTCGCTTTCCTTCATCAAGTTGAATATATTTAAATCAACTAAGGAGATTCATGAAAGAGTAAAATTGTGAAAGATGAAGAGTAAGAATTGAACATTTCAATTATTGAACACCCTTTATTTTATACATATGTAAAATAAATCACCTCTGGGGGTGGAGGAGGAGGTGGTGGGGGATAGACAGTCGGAGCAGACATTCTTTCTTCTGCAGATTGGTACCACCACTCCATCATCTGAAAACCCATGAAAAATATTTACGGATGCTCAAAATTAAAGAACTCAAATGGGGAAAACAGAAGTAAAAGATAGTATGAGATTACAACATTCCAGACTGAATGGTTCTCCTTAATCTACCTCTAGTTAGATCTTATGTAATATCATAAGCAAGATGAGAACTTTCCTAGTGAAGAAAATCCAAAAAATCATAAAAACAAAATACTAAGAATTAGCAGTTTTGAGGGCATGCAAGCAAAAGCAGAACACAGTTAGGTCTTAAGGTGAAAATAGCTAAAAGGTATAAGCCGCATAGCTAAACAAGTTACAGAAAGCAAGCAAAGACCAACCCATATATAGTAATTACAACTCCACGCATAATGTCTTGTGGGTAAAATTTGCATTAGGTTCATTGTAACTCACTTTAAAGAAAAACACTGCAGCAATTAGACCTGTCTGAGCATAGTCAAGAACTGCATATGCACAGCTGAGCAATCCACCTTGTATAGCCTGAGATACATTATAAGTAACCCCTTTAGTTAAGAACCTAAATAAGAAAATACAGCAACTATATTTTTTTAGGAGGATAAATTAGTGAATAGAATAAAAGAAATTCAAGGGAGGGCGATTAGATGTCCTCAATCACATGACGTCAAGTCAAACTGTACTTACCTCCATCCATCCACATTACATGTCCATTAAAAGTTGGCAACTTAAAAAGTCCACGATACACATCGCTAATTATTAACTGTCCCATCAATAGGTCGATTTTACACAGACATGACCTTGTCAAGTATATGGGTATTGCACAAACTTTAACAAGTCATGCCAGGTATTATAGGAATTTTGGACATTCTGGAAACGTGATTAACTACTCTTAACTGTTTAATCAAAAAAGTATAGACAAGTATGATATAGATAGCTAAATAAAAGATAAACATGTACCTTTAGCCAAGGGGGCCCGCAAAGTCTCTCACGCTCACGGTTTCTTATCTTAGAAATTCTGGAAGAAGTATCCATCTACCGTGATATCAGAAAGAGATATAAGTTTCAAAAAAATAGGATGTTATTAGTAGACTAACACAAATGATAATTATATCTGTGAAGCACAGGCTTAATCTTTTCTGAAAAGACAAATAATCATTATATCAATAGCTTGCATTTATTAATATACAGCTTACTGATTGCACCAAAGCCTTTTGAGAGAAAATTAAGGTTTAAAAACTAACAGACAACTTATATAAACATCACGTAGAATTAAAAATATGCTATAAAATTTAAATTCTAATATTACAAGAATGACAGCTTGTATTCCTACTAATCATAGAATATGTTATCGAACCATCCGCAGAGAGCAGAGGATTTAAATTTCAGCATCTTCATTGAAGAGAAAGGAAAAGAAAATCCAATTAGAATCTATTGTCAAGTGACAACAAAAATCATGCAAAAAAATCAACCATTTATCAGACACTTGACAAAGTATGACCTAATTGGTTGAGGAGAAGATGCTTAAAGGACAAAAGGTAATTACAAAGGTGACAACGCACTTAAAGCTTTGACCAAAGAGGTTACTGGTACAAAAATTGATCTCCCAATAATTCAGCATGACTGAAAAGGGAAAAAAGTATTAAAGGTTACTCAGTCAAGCAACCTTTGATCTCCACATATTACCTAGAGCACCATGAAAGCAATTTCAAATTCAAAAATCTTTCAACTGATTCGTCATGTATAGTCATCCAGCAAGGCATAACAGGAGTCATTCAATATTCTTAAAACGAACCAATATCCCATAAAAAAGCAATCAGATAAATTAGATACATATATAATTATTAACAAATACCAGCTCCTGTCCTGTAGCTCGACAAACATGAATACCAAGTGCATGTAATCCTACGCAGTAGAACCCAGTAGCATCCAACAAATATAACAGCTGATAAGCAAATGAAAGTCCTGCACAGCAAAAACTAGTTCTTATTAGATGGATGTTAGCAATAGATTCATGCACACATTGTGGAAAGAAAGCCCCACTGATGCATATAATATTTCCCGTGAAAATCATTACGGAATTCGACATTTCTAACTACATGCATTGAAAAGCTTTTCCTGTTTTTTATAGTAAAATTGAGAAGGAGCTGAACTTCCATAGGATTTCCTTTAGTGGACTTCTGTCAAGTACGCTATATTATTAGTAATGAAAGAATGGGTTTGTCAAGCTATAGCTACAATGTTGCATAGAAAATAAATAAAAGAGGACAAAATATAATTAGAAAAGGCCATCATTATAAACTAGTCAAACACTTTGTTGGAGGTAAAACTGTTTAAAACTGGTTTATCTGGCTGGTGCAAAGCTGATTTGCAATAGGTTGATAACATGCATAAATAAAAGAAAGCACCAGGAGAGTAAGATATTCTTTTTGACAGAATGACAGAACACATCAGAGGGCGACCAGTAGGAAACACTTGTTTAATTGGAGGTGAGAATTGACACAAAACATGACTAGGAAGAAACAGAATAGAGTATTAATCCAAGGAATAAGTTGAGGAGAGCAGTAGTATAAGCCACTTTAGGTAATACGGACGGAAAAGAAACACGGAATTTTTTAAGAAAAGAGCAAGTTATTGTTCAAATATGAGAGAAGGCAAACTTCCTGGTATCATTACAGTCATCTACAACTAAGTCTAAGGAATTTGAAGGTTCTCTTTTTTACCTAATTGTTCTCAATTGGAAAGAAATGTTTTCTTATTGATTTTCGGTCCGCACATAATAAAGTGTTGTTTGAGCCCCATTTTTTTTCAAAAAAATGCATTTGGCAATAGTATTATGATGGAGAATGCGTGGTTAAAAAATAAAGAAAATTTTGAATTTACGTGTATATTATTTTATTGAAAAATGTGTGGTTGAAATGGAGTCTAATCACTATAGAAGAATGGATTTTTATGGAAAAAATGGGCTCAAACAAGGGCTAAATTGTATTGTAAAAAACTGAGACACGGTAAACTCAAAGCCATTGAACATCACAATCTTACCATACCATATTCAATAGAATTTTGTTAAAATTTACGGTTCACAATTTATTAGTTAATACCTCTCTCTTAAAAAGTTGGGCATTCATGTTAACAAATCAAACTTTGCACTATCCCCTCGAGAACTTATTGACATTTTTTCTACAGAATCCATCTCTTGTTTTCCCCCATAACGAATTTTACTCTCTCCTGAAGTCCACTGTGAAGCTTAGAATTGCTCAATTAACTCTCCTCTAATTGAACTACTCAAACAGATTAAAAAAATGAAAAAGAAAACAAGTAGCAAAGCTATTAGTACTCAACTAAAACTTCTACAAAGGGCATATAAAGCATGCATGCCAAAGTTGTCATCTTTATCTCTATCCCCTCATAGTAACCTCAAAACAAATCTACAACTAACTGAAACCAAGTGAATCCCGTCTTATTCCATAATGGATAAAAATCCTAACAAAATTTTCAATTTCTAAGAAAATATCAATGTCAAAAACATAAGCAACGTGCACCTTCATTTCCAGCATGTATCCAAGGGTAGCAAGCACCTATAGCCTTCTGCAATCTCTTGATCAAACGGGTTCTACTTGATGCTTCAACATCTGAATTGCTTCTCGACCCATAGGAATTTCCGCCTCCATCAAGGTAGTCAGCATCATCTAATCTTTCATCACTAACTCCCCATAAACTTGCCTGAAGTGTAGCTTCCCTTTCCTTATTGTAGATAGACTGCAGTTTTGACTTCATATATGGCAAAATGACCTAAAAGATTGNCTTTCCTTATTGTAGATAGACTGCAGTTTTGACTTCATATATGGCAAAATGACCTAAAAGATTGCATCTTACCATTAGGAGTCAAGAACTTGGCAATGAATGAAATAAACTGGAAACTGTAATTTGTAATAAACAGATCCTTTTAATATGACTATACAGAGGCAAAACACTCGAGATTATGCTGTTATTGCTTTTGCTACAATTCAGCATTCCAAGCCGCACTAAAGCACTTTTGTTCTCTTTCTTTGAGGGGGGGACAGGACAACTTGAAAAATTGGGGTAAAATTTTATGGAGTAGATGAGAACAAGATTAGTGTGCCCGCTATAGAATTATAGATACAGGTGTTCTTTGGAGAAAGTACAAAATTTCTTCTTTTTCTTTGATATCTATGGACCAATTAAATGAATTTCTAAAAATTGAATAGGGAGAGGGTCAGCAATTAGAAGCAAACCATTTCGATAAGATTATATCCATACGTAATAGCATTCTTAATCCTAGCACCTCACAGTTTTAAGCCAACATTCGGAACATCTATTTCACTGCCGCATTAACTATACACATGGCAATGGACTAAAAGTTAATGGATTGAAAATAATGAAATAATAGAACTCCATACCCTTTCTCTGCTGCATGAACGTGTGCAATGGTAAAAGTATTTGAAATATGAACTTGGAAACCATGGTTTCTATATTTCATAAAATAGAGATGGAAAATGGATAAAAAAAGGGCAGATCTTTGTGCTGATAAAAATAGGGATAGCTTCAAAAGGAAAATGAAGAAACATTAACCAAAGTAAAAAGTAGTTAGATAGAGCATGAAACCGAATATTGTCCATGACCAATAAGTTTGTCATATTTGAAACTAACTTACACCTCACTGTACTTCTGCAAAAGCAAAAATGATCGATGGAGTAGTCTTTGTGTGAAGTTCATTACTCTTCTTTTGTCCTTCCTTGTACTAATTACTAAATAAACCAATAATAATTTCGATCAATAGAAGTGTCTGTTTATAATGTAAAAATTCTAAATAACTAGCCATTTTGGGACAGAGGGAATAACAGTATCCAAACTTTTTGATGTATTAGACATAGACATGACACCATAAAAGCAGCACAGCTTTGTTAAAAAACATAGAGATTTCTATATTGATGCAATTTCTCACGTGAATAAGTACTCAAGAATCATTCACCAGAAATACAACTGAGAGAACTTTTTGGCGCTTCTCTAACCCAGTGTGATGAATTTCATCACCAAAGTCTGTAAGTTTAGAATTCTTCTTCAGTCTTAACCTAACTCCTCTTCTGCGTAGGCCATATAATGATTCCGCAAAAGAAGCATCTGAGGAAACACAAAATATCAGGCAGTGGTATTACTAGAACCCCAAAATATTTGGTTATACAGGGTGATGAATTCTTTATTTCATCAATGCAACTCGTAGCAGTCAATTGAATTGCAAAGTAGCCAGTTACCACCAAACCATTAAGTTTAATTTTAATAAATGTAAAATTTCAACCCATAAATTCCGTCTAGCTCTTGGGTTAAATACTAAAACTCAATGATTTCTTCTTAATTTATCCAATAAATCCTAAAAAAATCACAATCTAAAATCTCCAATAAAGTAAGCAAAACAGGAAATTACCAGTAGTACGTAAACTATGAGTTTCCAGAACTAGCATAAGCAATGCGAAGAATTCATCTTCATAGTCTAAGATTTTATGAATGAAGGGTCTTCTCAACGCCAATACCTGCGCGCAACATTAAATTCGCGAAATTCATATCAAATTTCACCGTAAATAAAACCTCACGCTAGAGTAAAAAAAAAAAAAGAACAGAAGATAGACTCGGCTAATTGATGAAGGAAGCATACACCAAATGAGTAAGTGAGGGCGGCACGTAGGCTTGACGGGAGCTGCTGAGCAGCGGACATCTCGAAGAACGTGGGACGTGTCCCTTGTCCTCCCACCTGAAACAACATCTCTCTCTGTCTGTCTTTTACTCTGTACAGACTACACACCTCCGCCAATGCTCTGCCGGGAAGAGTTTTCGCCTCCGCCCCTGCTCCAACTCACTGAACTTTAAGAGCTTGTTTGGGAGAGATTTTTGGGGGAAGAATTGATTTTAAATAGTGATATGATGGGAAATGTGTGGTTGAAAAAGAAGAAAAAATTATTGATGTGATGGAAGATATTATTTTATTGAAAAATATGTAGTTTAAAATGAGAATTGATTTACTGTAGAAAAATCTAAATCCCTCCCAAACAGGGCCTCAGTCTTACTTTCATAATTTCAAATATAAAAAATTAATTATTTCAAAAACTACTCTCACCTTAGATAAATAGTTCGCTTTTACTTTCAACTTCAATAAGATTACTTTTTTTTTTTTATATTCCCATATATGAGAAAGTAAATATTAGAGAAAATTGCGCATATCAATCTCAATCTTTGTGGTACCTTGTATTTCTATCCAATCTCTTTTTCTTAACATGCTAGTCCTCAATTTTCCATTTATTAACGATTATCTCCCCCACATCGAAATTCATCTAAAATGCCATTGAATCTCAAGTTTAGCAATCAATTGTGCACCGCATGTGAGCTATCATTGTAGAAATTTGCATTTAATATTCAACGCCTAAATGAGTGCTAAAGCTATGAAGTTAATTATTTGTCTGGACGGACTCCACCCGTATGGTTGAGTGAGTGATAAATTTAATATTATTATTATAATTTTGTTCGAATTCCAAACATGTTTGATAAAACTTTTGTATGTTATAAGGTAATTAAATGTATTTAGGGCAAAGTCATTTGTACACGCTCGGGTACACAATCCCACCGCCCCTCTCACAATGAGGGGGACCCGAGGTGAATAAAATAATAGGACCCCCCCCCCCCCCAACCACAATTGTGAGTGGGCGTGGGGTCGAGTACACGAGCGTATCCAATGTACCTATAGCAAAACTCATGTATTTATAACATTTCATAAAATCCATGATTTTTATACACCTTTTGTGTGCACATTCCTTGAATCTCACATTACCTATAAAAAAAACTTTATTTTACATACACGGGCAATAAAATTGGTTTAGGTCGCCAATAAATGAATTGTTAAGAATTTGCATGCCAAAATTGCGAAGTATCCAAAGTTGGGAACCACCAATCCAATTTTATAGTCGGACTTTGTGTTCTCAGTCATCCAAGACACTGGTGACGAGGCAGCAGCCATGGCCAACTTAGTCCGAGTCGCCGCCGCACAGATGACCTCCATCAACGATCTCTCAGCCAACTTCTCAACCTGCTCTCACCTCGCTAAGGTAAATTACTCAATTATCTGCGATACCAAAATCTGCGACGTTGATTTGAAACTTCTACTGAAACCGCCTAACTGAACGAATCTAGGAAATTAATTGTTATCGTTTCTCTTCTCGTATGTCTAAATTTGATTGATTTTCTCTAAGTTTCAATTGGGTAGGTTTCGATTTCACGCACCAGACACAGCAGAAGATAAATTAGAAACCTAATGGAATTTTATGTCAAAACACGTAACAATACTTTACACAGTTCAAGCTATAAGACTGCTATCTTTCAAATTTAGCAGTAGCATAATGATGATAGTAGAAGTTTGGATGGCTGCCTCAATCACCCACTAAATGAATGGGAGAGTGTGTCCTATGGTATCGCTATGACGATCAAGTTAGAATGAGTTCTACGTGAGAGGTGAAAGATATGAGGGAGTAATGAGAATGTGCATGTATTTTCGTTACCACTGTTGGTGCTCATTCTATAGGAGGGGGACTGTCACTTGATGGAATGGAGTTCCCCCTTGTGTGATTGATGCTTTTTTCCACACATGGCGTTCTTTAGATCAAGTGATTCCGCGTTACAGATTTGTGCCCCACTGGATTGCTGGCAATCTTCGGTCAGCATTCGAGACTTAGCATGAAACTTGGCTCCTTCCTTGAGGTGGAGGAGTTCAATAATCGGGACGTTGGAGGTACGAGACCCATTATATCAATCTATTGATTTTCCCACTTATCACGTGGGTACCGGGGGAAGATAAACCACTCAAACTTAAGTTTCCAAAGAAGTTTCCAAGTGAATATAGCCCTCTTGATTGCACTTTATGTTCTCGTACAAAGTATTATACATTTAAGGATCCTCTTGCTACATGACACGTCCTCATTCACTACATAGAACTTCTAATAATGGGAAAAAATCAAACATGAAGATTCTCTTGCGACGTGATGGAGCTTCTACACTACGGAAACCTTGTATGGTTTGAAAAGTAGAATGCATTAATATGTCATGGAACTACTTAACAAGCTCTCGTATAATATTCCATTCCGGGTGACTGTCTACTTTTTGTCAAATTGGACTTAACTCTTGAGGTTTGAGGTTTAACTTTGACGTCTTCCTGACTTTGAAATCTCAAAATTTCCAGGATCTGTCTACTTTTTGTCAAATTGGACTTAACTCTTGAGGTTTGAGGTTTAACTTTGATGTCTTCCTGCCTTTGAAATCTCAAAATTTCCAGGATCCCTGACATTCTTTGTTTGAGCAGTGACTTGGGGT